CGTTGTCATCGAGCAAACAAAAGGCCTCAGGTGTCATCCATAGACGCGCATTACCTTCCTGTACATTCAATCGACTCACAAGCATATCCAATACTTTGTGCTTGATAGCCATGGTATTTGAATTGGAATCCTTCCTCTGCCGAGATGCCTCTGGCTTGTCATACATTGACTTTAGCCTGGTGACATATTGCCTTAAAGGTTTGGGAAAATTGTGGTCTTGCAAAAGTGCTGCCAAGTTTCCAGCTGAGCAGTACCTTTTCAGGAAGGTAATTTCGAGTTCGCCTAGTCGTAAAAGAAAGGATATCTCACTATCAACTTATCTATCGATTTAAAATGATCATGATAGAAGGATTCTGACCTATATGGTTGTTGTGACATCCCTTCAGTATCCTACCCATCAGCCTTTCAAAGAAGAATGACCACCATGATCTCACGGGCCCGAATCGCTTCAGAAGGTCTCCCAAATGAATTGACATATGGTGGTTTGGAGCAAGATGGGAGTGCTGAAACAATTGTAGCAAACTTTCTAAGTATTTTTTAACATGGAATTCATATTTATGAATTTGATCAAAAGATATGTCTTGCTTGAGAGCAAGATTGACCAGCGAAACCAAATGAAGGAAATTATGCAGAAGAGATGTCTTCACTGGATCCCGACCAAACCATAGCGGAATCAGGATTAGAGGTAATTGGAGTGTAAATAAGTTTCTCCATTCATCAGCTTTAAGCTTTCCAAAAGATGCTTTACCCAGCACTGGTATTGTACGCTTGATCCAACTCGGAGTGTTAATGAGAGGCAACCTAGAGTTTATGTAATCCAACATCTTGCTATCAAATACGATTTCATCAAGAGGTGGTGCATTCCATTTCCCATTCCATCCAGAATGACCAAGCGGGTCAAAATCTTCATCACTGCTATTTGTATCGTCTCCAAATGACAAATTCTCAAAAATTTCTTCATCTTCTTTGTTGTCCTCTTCACAACTGGGCGATGATGCTTTGAAATCTTGGGGTGGCAGGGGCTCTGAATGTTCAAGGACCAGTTCACGAAGTTCAGCTTTAGAGATCGGAGGTAATTGATCTTCTTCGTTTTGCTTGTCTTCCATTGCCCAAAATCTATGTAGATGCCATGAAAGTAGGCCTAAGAGCAGGTTATGCATCGAGTCTACAACATGGTAATCTACGATATTCCAATATTCAAGTTCCACCAGTACTGAATAACGGATACCGTGCGTCTTGATTATATTCTTTTGCTCTTCAACACTGTTTGCATCACGCGCTTGACATGCACAAATCTTATTCTGTTCCGCTGTACGTCGTGGCCATTTTGTTTGATCCAGTATGTTGATATCCTTTTTTTTGAGGTGACAAATTGAACAGAAATGAGTAGCAGTTGCACTTGGAAAACCAAGTGATCTTCTGATAGCGGGAATGTCAGCTATGAATGGTAATAATGCTGCTTTGATCAGACGTCTTTCGCCATACTGGTATGTCCGAGATAAGAGTAAGCCTGGCCTCCATAATGCTTGAAGTTCAGTGACAACTGGAAGCAATATCCAATTCATTTGCTCTAATGAGGGTTCACATGGGCCCGGAGCTATACCAACTATAAAAACATTTTCGGGTTGATGACGAATATCAAGGGGAAGTGTAAGACAGACTAACACAACAAAGGTAATGGAGACATGTTTTCCACTGGTTTTATTCCCATATGGGTTTATTGCATCTACAAACATTGCAAAAGTTAGGTTGCCACTTCTAGCAGTGTACTGACTCCCATCAGGACCACGAAAATTTTTCCATACTGGCGATTGATAGATGTCGCTCATTTTACGTTTTTCATTGAAGGGCTTTCGAGATTCTTCAAGACATTCATCAAGCCGTTCTTCAATACCAGGACGAGATAGCAATCGGGCAATCCAATCTGAAAGTTTTTGAAACACAAATCTCCTGACTGGTCTCTCTTTACCACGTTTGAAATTCAACAATGGATGGCCACATGTTTGTTCAGAAAACTCTGATGTATCGGGCTCATATGGAATTTCAGAAGAATGAATGTTGTTGTCCGTGTTGTTAGGTGGTTCAGGGGGTCCTCCAGGTATTTGAGAAAAACAATGTGTACATTTTTTGGGTGTACGATCAAGTGGGTATAGAGCAAAACATTGTTGACAGCAATTCATCTTCACAAGGTCAGGTTCAACATTCAGCCATTTGATTGCAGTAGTGATTGTTTTAGGGATCCGGTTCAAGATTGATGCATCCGATGTTTTGAGCAGGGCTAGAGGTTGAAATATGTTGATTGCACCGGTCAAACACAGCTCAAGCCGTCTTCATTGACAGATTCCCGAAAATACTCAGTATTGCCGCAACAAGGACCGCGTGAAGTAGGATCGAATTCATTTTTTCCAGTGTGAAAGCATAAAATCAATCTACATTGAGGGATCAACCGTCACAGGTTAATCTTGCGATTGGACATGCACTCGACCATTGGCAAAGTGATAAAAGTAACGTACCCCAGTTGTATATCTGGACACCAGCTGTCTTTGCTGAAGTAGCAGCGGTACAGATCTTTGGCAAGGAAGAAGCCTCATCAGAATCTTGATCTGAAAGTGGTCCTTTGGATCGTGCGTGAGTAGTCTGGACTGGCGTGCTTTCTTGTATTCCGGATTTGGACGCTTCATTCTCGGACCACAATAAACCTGCCTCACTAGCTTGAGACCTGCCTGTTAATATTTGTGTGTGTCGATGTAACGGACTATAACCTTGGAACGATGAAGGGTTGATTGAATTCAAGCCCAAGTGTGATAAAGTTCCAACAAGGGTATTGAGAGCAGCCGTGTTGTTTGGATCATTTTGATTCACAGTTTGAGTTCTTTGAGAACCGCTCAAAGTAGCCTGTCTTACTCTGTCGGCAAGTTGATGAGTAGCAAGTGTCTCAGGTAAGACCTCTACTCCAGCTCGAGTAACTCCGTGAGCATCCACATATTGACCAAGATAACAGTCATGTGTACGACAGATGCATGGTACTCGGTGGGCATTATGTTTGTTCTTCAACTTTGTAGCAGGTGGCATGATTATGTAAAACACACCGGTAGGAAGACGATGAAGTGGAAAGTGCGATGTGAAGGTTGACTATGTTAATCTGAAGGGACTTTGAGAAAGAGATCTTTGGTAGATGAGATCAAGATACTCTCAAGATGGTTGC